TTGGTCAGCTCCAGCCATCAAACACAAGTTGTTCTCTTCAAATTCAGATTCATCACTTGTTGTGCTTGAGTCATTATCTTCCCAAGCAATGTAGGCTCTCTTCCCTTTTCCATTTTTCTTGCTTTTCTTCTCCTCTTGTTGCTTCTTCAAGAGGTTTGGACACTCAGCTTTCATATGTCCCGGTTTTCCACACTCAAAGCAATTGAAGGAGGATGTGCTTGCTTCCTCTTTCTTGTTTGTCTTTTTATTGAATTTGTAGGGGGAATTTTTCTTTCTTCTCATGAACTTTCTGAACTTCTTTACCAGCAGATTGAAGTTCTCGGTTTCGGAATCATCGGAGCTTGTTTCTTCACACACCTCTTTACCTTTGGCAGATTTCAAGGCTTTCAATGACACTCCTTTGCCTTTCTTATCTTGCTGCTCATGTTCATCAAATATGTGCAGCTTTTGCTCATGCTCTCTTAGCTTCCCAAAGAGAGTAGCAAGTGTCAAGGAGGTCAAATCCTTTGATTCTTCTATGGCTGTCACCTTTGCTTGCCATGATCTGTCCAAGCATTGCAGCACTTTCAAATTCAGCTCTTCTTTCTCAAATTTCCTGCCAAGGTCAACAAGGTGATTTATCAAGTGTGTAAATCTATTTTGAAAGTCAGAAATAGATTCACCATTGTTCATTCTAAAAAATTCATATTCTCTTATGAGAGTGTGTTTTCTAGATCTCTTTACATCACTTGTTCCTTCATGAGTGACTTGCAAAGTGAATTTTTAATGAAGTTTCTTAAAGACTTGTTATTGAAGAATGAATCCTATATGCTTTCTTGATTAACCAATAATGAGGTTCAAAGATAATATCAATATGTAATGCTTTGATTCAGTTCAAACCAATATTATTAATGCACACATGTTAATAAAAAACAATCTTCTTTAATGCACAATCAAGATATTACAAAAAGTAAAAGATAAGGGTAAGAGAAGATTGCACAAGTCTTTTATCCTGGTTCAGCCTCGGATCATCTCTCTTTTCTTGTGACCTACTTCGCTCACGCCGAGGTCTATCAGACCGATCCTGCGCATGCCGATCGTTGTGTCGATACTGGGACGAGGAGCGGGGACGATATGAAGCTGGCCGATCCACAATATTGGGCAACTTGCCTTGCTTGACCAAATCTTCAATTTTCTTTTAAGGCGGCACACTCTTCAGTTGAGTGTCCGCGGTTTCGGTGATACCTGCAGGTTTTGCTGGTATCGGCGCGTGGCGGAGTGGAAGCTCTTTTTGGAACCGCCAACACTTCTGCTGCCAAAGCCTGCTCTAGTATCGTTGCCCGGCTTGCATTAAGAGGGGTGTAATTGGGGTATTTGGGACCTCGCACGGGTCGGTCCCGAAGAGCTATTTTTCTTGATTAACCAATAATGAGGTTCAAAGATAATATCAATATGTAATGCTTTGATTCAGTTCAAACCAATATTATTAATGCACACATGTTAATAAAAAACAATCTTCTTTAATGCACAATCAAGATATTACAAAAAGTAAAAGATAAGGGTAAGAGAAGATTGCACAAGTCTTTTATCCTGGTTCAGCCACTCCACATGTGACCTACATCCAGTCCTCAATCATAACCTGATCAAGATTTGTTTCACTATCTTAATGAAGAAGGTTTACAAGCATACCACACATGCATATACTCCTACATTCAAGATAACCACTTTCTTGAGTTGTACAAAGGTGTTGAAAAAGAAAAGGTGGATGAGTTTGTGGATGTGTTGGAACAAGTTTGTGTGCAAAGGAAACTAGCTTTGTGCGATGTTTTTGATCAAGTGACACGTGCAGGTGATTCAATGCTTCACATGGCAGTGCGTTTGGGGAAAGAGAAGATTGTGGAGCTGATTTCTCGTCACTTTCCTAAGCTTCTTATTAGGAGAAACGTGAGAGGGGACACTCCACTTCATGTTGCTGTGAGGTTCAAGCACTGTGGCATAGTCAAGCTCATTCTCTCACAATATGGCACAGAGAAGGCAAAACATGATGGCATGAAGGATATAACAAGAGAGAAAAATGAACATGGGGACACCCCTTTGCACGAGGCTGTGAATAGTAAGGATTTTGGTGTGGTTAAAGTGATTTTTGATGCAGATAAGGATGTGGTCCATTGTTTGAACAAGTCAAAGCGATCACCACTGTTTTTGGCAGTTGTGAATGGGAATAAAGACATTCTGAATCTTCTATTGAAAATTCCATTCCCTGCAGATAAACGGCTTCCACAGCACTTTGGAAACTCTCCACTCCATGCAGCAATACTGGAACGGAATCCTGGTATTTCTTCTTTACACCAAATTATTTTTTTCCCACGTTGATATAACTATACTTATACTATTTTAATTAAACATTGGTCGATATAAATAGAACCACCTCATAACTCATAAATTATCCGAAACTCAAATGTTAGATATGGAATAAATTATGTCAGACAAATCAATATCAGTAGGTAATAAATAATTTATACGAATATTATGATTATACAATTTTTTTAAATTAAACACTGGTTTCATGCATTAATAAATAAAGCTGTGTACATAATTTTAAACAATTAAACCTGCAAGTTGATCGTATTATTCACAACTTGCCTGCGTGAGGTAATTAGACTAGTATAATATAGGTACGTCTAAATGTAAGGGTTGTTGACTTATTTTGCACTAGTTATGGGTTAAAAGAACTTGCTAATTTGTGGGTCAAGGGGCTAATTAATCACGGGCCAAATATTTTACTAGCCCATATAGAACAACCAAGTCCAATACATAAAATGGGGATTCATAATCGATTGGGCTTAAAAGGGCTAAGCTAACCTGCTTGCATACCTAGCCCGGCCCTACTTATAATAGGATGATGATATATACACTGCTATATAACAAGTTTTTTTAATGTTAAGATTTCATATTTTTTTCACCGACCCATTTCATATAAATATATGACTTATTAATTAAAACAGCTGCGTCTTTGAAATATGCCAAGCATCAAGGAAACAACGAAATTTATTTTAAATGTTATCTTTATGACTATTAAATTTAAATGTTATTCTTTTAGGAACGTCAAATCCACGTCGCCTTGACTTCATTTACACGTTGGGAATGTCATTTAGGTAATAAAAGATTAAGAACAAGGACAAAGGAAGGGATGGGTGACCATATTTTGAAGTTTAGTTTTTTTTTTTATTTCGTATTTTGAAGTTTAATTAAATTATAGTTTAAATATTTTTTATTTTTATTTATTCTATTTTTTAGTTTTTATAATTTAAAATATATTTTTTTTAATTTTTAATTTTTATATATTTTTTTTAAATTTTTTATTCCTTGTAATTTAAGATAAATATTTTTCATTCTATAAGTTAAAAGAAATTTTTTAATCTGTATAATTTAAAATATGTTTTTTTAGTCTTTATATTTGTAAATTTTTTTAATTATTCTAGTCTTTGTTAATTTTTTTTATAATATTATTTCTTTTGTATTATCATAATAAATATATTAATATAATTTTGTTTATCTATTTTTTTTTTTTGTAAAATACAATTATGGTTCTTTGTAGTTATGCATATATATCAAGCATTTAAGCTGTTTGTGATGTTTTGTTCTTCATTTTTCCCCTTGGATACTAGCTATTAATGGTGCCAAGGAAAATTAAGCTCCAAAAGTCAAAGAAAAGGAACGTGCCCACAATGGATGACTTCTATCTTTCTTGGTCATTATTTTTAATTACTTCTTTTGTCAAGTTGGTGGTTAGATATATAGATCAATTCTTAATATTAAGAAGTTTCTTATGCCATGTTTCATGGATTTCACATGATTATAGTCTAAGTTTTTTGTAAAGTGATGTTATTATATATATATATATATATATATATAT